AATCTTACAAATTAACGAAAATATGTTCCTCTCGGAACAAAAATAATTGGAAAAATAAAAATCAAAAAATAAGTGGACGAACAATCTCTTCACTGCTCTGTCATCCGTAATGTCGAACACCACATCTAAAGTGTTCGTCGAAGCAAAGATCATGTCATGTCGATGCGAAGAACGTTAACGAATGGAATGTAAAGTGGAAGAGATACTGGGAGATTATTTTCGTAACAGGTTAAGTTAAATTTGGTAAGTTTCCGATATAGTTGCTTAGAAATGACGAAAAAAGACCATTGAACACGAAATCTGCACAAAAAGCTATTGGCTGCGTTTATACTTTGCGGCAGCGTAGCGTAGCGCTTCCAGCGTACGCCAGCGGCAGTGCCGGGGAGAGGATGCATATCGATCTAGCGTTCCCAGCGTCACCAGCGTAACGCTAGCGTTACGCCAGCTCGTTTTCTTCCAGCAGCGTTTTTGCTAGCGTTTGCAGCGGCAAGGGAGTAGAGACTATGGGAGAGCTGGAGGGTACAAAACACATCGATTGCGCGTCTCTCACTCGCCCTCAGTCTCTACTATACACATCGACTCCGCGTCTCTGACGGCCACATAGTCTCTACAATACACCAATCGATTGCGCGTCTCTTACGGCCACATAGTCTCTACTCCCTGCCGCTGCAAACGCCAGCAAAACGCTGGTGAAACGCTGGAGAAACGCTGGCGTACGCTAGCGTTACGCTGGTGACGCTGGGAGCGCTAGATCGATATCCATCCTCTCCCCGGCACTGCCGCTGGCGTACGCTGGAAGCGCTACGCTACGCTGCCGCAAAGTATAAACGCAGCCTTCCCAAACTAATGTATTTGCGAAACCAAAGAGTTCCGTATCCTTCGAATACAAGGCGTTTCAGGATAGTAGTTGTCGGAAAAGCTGCAAAGTAGGCGACGGATAAGACAAAGTTAATTGGAGGCGTACATAGTTTCTCTGGTTTTGCACAGTTTTCAAAGCATGAAGTCGTGGATACAAGCGGGGCACACTCACACTTCATGCTTTGCTCGCTTCAGTCGATTGAAACACAACTATGAGTGAAGTCAGGATAAACAGGTGTTGAGCTATGTCCCCAAGTAAGGCTAACAATCCGCACAACACAATTATATCCAATGTTCTCGTTGCTTACCTTTGACTTCACCATTACTCTGTGCGTGAGTAATGGAAGCCACTCATGGTTTGGAAATATCGAAGGGTATATTTTGTGGGCAGATTACGGTATTACGGGTAACTACCAAGATTTCTGAATTTTGTTTGCCCTTCTCGCTGGATTGGCCTCCGAAAATACTCCCATAATATACCCGGAAACCTAAGCAGCAGGAAGTACCTGCTGAATGCTGTTGAATGCATCTGCGTCCCTGAAGCTTTCTGCTTCTGCATGCATCGCCATCCTGGGGGAAAGTCCTGTTCGTGCATTCCCCCCTTGCCCTAGATCCACGCATGCATGTTTAGCCGAAAGCTTCAATGATATCCTGGTAAAAGAGAGTTTGTGGGGACTTTTGTGTCCTGCCGAGACGCCAGAGTTGATTAATCGTATGCCGCCTATTAATCGTACGCTTTGCAGAGTGGAGACTGTTTAGCCTGCTGCCTCCGGCAGCAGCGAGAAGCCACTCTTTACTCCTATTTACAGGCTCGCTGCGTCAGACCAGAGCTCAGTTTTTCCCTTTTTGAGTAAAAGTTATATCATAAATATACACACCCTATGTTTAATGTTCATACATGGAACAGCACTATACCCGTCAGGGAGCCCGATCACTCTTCGATACGGAATGCTGTGCTATAGCGTTTGTCGTATCCATCGTATAGTGGCCGAAAGCTCATGGCGGAGGATGTAGTTGCGGCCACCTGTCCGGCCAACTGTCGTGTAGACTCCTCCGCAGTCAGCATGATGCAACAGCATGGGCGAGTATTTAAGGCGCCAGCCAGAGACATGAGCCAGTCTCGACTCAAGCAGCTCCAACAGCTTCTCGTCTCCCAGCAGCCTCTGGACTGCTTCCCTTCGACTTGTCCCCTTCTCCCTACTTGTTATGTAATCAATAAATATATATAAATCTCCTTGTTACCTATGCCTACCACCGCTACACCATCAGATGAAGGCCCGTACACCCTTCAATCTGATACGTTTAGCACTCAGGACTTTCAATCGTGGACGGAAAGTCAAAACTATAAAGCCAGTAAAGTGAACACTGACTCTAATACAGCTCTTGCTTTGCCGTATTCATGACGAAAAGCGCTTACGAGTTTTCAAGCAGTCCCCAACCAAAGACACGAGCCTAGTCTCGACCACAAGTAGGAGCAACAGCTGTTCGTCTACCCGTCAGCCTCTGGCTGCTTCCCTTCGTCTTATCCCCATTTCCCTACTTATTATGTAACGAACAAGTACATTAAAATATCCTTGTTACCTATCATCATATCCGCTACACCATCAGATGAAGGGCAGTACCTATTCAGTCTCATACCTTAGAGACCACTACATAGTCTACATTTTTGCAACACTTCTTCTAGGTATACAATTTGTGCAAAATTGCACTACAAGATAAAGGCGGTTCCTCATTGTTGACAGATGGCCCATCACATGGTGTGATAATCTCCATGTGCTTCCATCACGCATCTTGTTTGCATCCAACGACTTCGCAAACCATCCTTGGAACTTCGCAGCTGTCTTGGACTACGCAAACATGGAAGTTGGAAACGAGATTGCACAAAAATCGAGCTTTACAAGCTGGGACATGCAAGGTATTTCTGAAGGACCTTTCCATTGGTGACCTAGTTCTCCCACATGACCGCACTGTTTGTCCAAATTTCACAAACCAATGGAAAGGCCCTTTTGCAGTTGAGGATACAAAATGTCCCAACATAACAATAACTGACTTGGTAAATCGCCCCACGCGGTATACCATTTATGCCGACACACTAACGCATATTCGTTCCGCTCATTGTCGAGTAATGCTTCCTTCAGAATCGGCAATCACAGCCATTCCTGCTCACCGCGGAAAGATCACTCGACAACGAGCAACACTAACATCGAGGACGTTCCTTTCGCTTTCAGGGGAAGAATTAACACATTTTCAACCCAACAGGTAATAGCACTATGGGACTACTCTTTCACAGAACAGTAACCTTCAGGTATGGCTATAGGTTTGTTCGGTTCTTCAAGTCCGCCACCGCTCGCGAAGACTACTATCTTTGAATTGGCGGTTCAAAGAATATTCAGGCAGCGTTCTTGTGTTAAATCAAAAACAGCAGTATTTCGCTAACACGCCCTTATACTGGTCGACATAGTGTGTTGTTAAAACCAGACTGGTATTCGCATCATAGTTCATCTCATGTTCTTATACTAGTCGCAAAATACAGTGCAGTGGAGTAGATTGTAATTAGTATCGCCATTTATTTTAGCATTGTACACGTTTATCGTTTGGACGAGTCTGAATCACAAATTTCATGATAAAACCAGAGGAACGTTTGTGCCATAAACGTTGTGTAGCTTGTGGGTTTATTCTGTATTTGTCGATGTTGCTATCTCCAACAAAATGGCTCATACATAGCCCTTCAGGAAGTATTGTGTAATGGGTTTTTGAGTGCTTTCATTATTTATTCCCTAGAGAGGATGCTTTTCATCGAGGGGATGAACTGGCTTTTTGCGAACACCGACTCTGAACTACAAGCAATCATGATCATCAATCACAGTATTCTGCCCATAGATGCTGGCATAATATCTGCTCCTCTGGTATTACTGAACGAAGACGTTTGGGTGCGAAGAAGACGCATTTGCAGTTGTAAGGGCTTCTCGTAGACGGTGTTGGGCTTCCTTTTCATGATATGCCATGCCATGTCATTCGCACCTATTCATCACACAAGAACACTTTTACGATTGTCTTCGAATGAGATTTAAGCCAAAGAAAGTTCGAAAACAGTTTGGGAAAAGGAATGCCTGAGCAGTTTTCTGTACGGAAGTAGAATGTCGTATCCTCGCAGTCACGCAAGAGTGTCAGCAAACGCTTGTTAGCTTTCCGCATCGTACCACAGAGACCGTTCAAGCTGCTGCCAGCCGGCAGAAGCAGAGTGTCAATCTTCACTCACTTACGAAGCTGCTCACTTGAGTCAAAGTTCGTTTTTGCCAGCCACTTCCTCTCCTGTCCCGCTTTCCTCCTCGTTATGTAATAGCTATGTAATAAACATCTACATCCACTGTCTAATGTTCATACACGGAACAACTACACTCACCAAGGCCTGATCAACTTTAAATCCGATAGAACGTACTCATACTGCCTGCCTTTATCTGTCGTTAGCTGCGGCACATGTTGTGACAGTGGTGCCTTCGATTATTAATGCACTCGAAATCCCTGAGATGAGGTAGGCGTGGCTGCGTCTTTCAACTGAACGTGGCGGTGGCCGTGCTTTTGGTGAGATATTTTCATTGTCGAAACAATTGTGGTCATGCCTCTGTCCAGCACAGAACAAGATGACAGTTGCCTCACCTGAGACATCTCGCGAGTGACTCATTCTATGCCAGGATCAAATGCCACGCCTACTCCGTCTCAGAGAGAAGGGCTTATCTCTCTTATCCGCTGCACTACAATAGCATGTTTTAAGAGGTGTTAAATGCTTTTCTGCGGTGAGCAAATAATATTACGGTATCTTGAAAGATCACCTCCAGGTATTGATCACGTTTGAATGAATTACTTCATTGCAACTATTTATTAAAAGAAGATAGGACTCAGTTGAGTACAACTCTACCTTGACAAGTCAAAAGATATACGACAGCTGAAGCCATTCCTGCTCAATGAGGGTCTACTCGACAGTATTAGCGACATGTTACATGGGTAAATGATTAAGCAATAAGAGACAGTTAAGGCAAAAAGACATGGGAATCGATTGTTGTAATAATGACGGTGCAAATGTTGAAAAGAACCATTCAGCTAGTTAAATGAAAATGTGGAGATTAAGGAATCATCAGAGGTTATCAGAGATCGACAAATTTCGACAGTCCAACCATCACCGTTCCAGGCAGCGTTACCAGCATGGCGACGGCAAGAATTTTGAAGTTTCGGCTACCCTATAATTGTGTACAAAAATATCAATGCCTGAAAAGAGTTTCGAAAAAAATGCCAGTAGTACTAGGTTGCCCGATGAGTTATGGGGCCCTTCACAAGAAGTACCGTTTCCAGATTGAAGCCCTGCTCACAAACAGACTCTGGATAGTACCAATCAGAACTGTCTAGAGGAAGGTCGTTTGAGGCCGCCAGAGCATGAGTTCATTATTCTTTCTGTGCTAATGCTCAACAGATCACGGCGAGCTACCACCTACTGAGAGTTCTGCCAGAGCAGGGGCATACCCAAAACGTGGACCCGTTCATTTCTGTTCATTATACTCGCCAATCCCTGATATCGGGTAGGCGTGGCCTGCTGTACCTTAGATTTTAAAATAGCGGCGGCTCAGGTTTTTTCGTGGGATATTGTCATTTGCGAACAGTTCCGGTAATCGGCCTTAACACTCTTAAAGCACGGAACAAGAAAAGCGCAGCTGTTTCAAATTTGGCATGTTCCACGAGCGAAACCCGTCCTATGCCATTTGCTCATAAAGCCAACGCCTACTCGCTTCAGGGATAAGGGAGATTACTCAGTTACAGGCAGCGTGCCACCGTATCGACCAATATGGCGTCAAACTCAGCGATTCCGAAGCTGTCGCCGCAGCATTGGCGATTGGGAAAGTATAGGATAAATCGATTCTAGTGCTGTGCCAGAAGCTGTCTAGGCGTCTACCACCGCATGCAGCGGCGCCGTGCGCAGCGCGTCCAACCTTACCGCCTGCGAGTTGGTGGGGAGTCTAGGGTATTAGGTATAGGTATCGATCTAGCTGTGCCACCAGCGTCTATGCAGCGTTGAGAAAGGAGATAAACGGGAGCGACAGGATTGGAGCAGACAGCCGGTAGAGTATGGGGAGATGGGAGGGTACCAGCTGTCTGCTACCCTCCGACCGCGCCATACTCTCCTCTCCTGGACGCTGGCAGAGGATGGTGCACGCTTGCAGAAGCTAGACCAATACCTATACTCCCTAGCCCTTGAAATCCTACTGGACGCTGGTGGACGGTGGAGGACTCTGGCAAACGCTGAAGGATATCTATATTTCCTAGTCGCTGACGCTGCTGGACGCTCGGAACGCCGCTGGACGCTATTGGTCGCTGGTGGACGCTGCCGCAAAGCATGAAGCGCAGCCTTACTCTCCGTTCAATCTGATAATTTACAGGTCAAAAGCCAAGGAAGTACCAAAACGTGACGTCAGCTTGAAAGATGCAAAATTATTACTTCTTCTTGCTTACCTTGATCTCGTGGAAGTAGAAGATACTCCAAGCGGCAACTATACATCCAGGGAGCATTGTGATAATAGGAAACGTAACAGCTTGAGAGAGGTGTTGATTAGCAATGAAAAACGATGTCTGAGCAATTCCCCATAGGAATCCGGCGAGCAGCGACGGCAGAACGATCACTGGTTGAATCACTGGATGGCCCCGCCTAAATTGAAACTATCAAAAAGTCAAACTGTTGTTGCACAACCTACAGAAGTACAGAGAGGTTAGCCATGCCAACGAATTCTGATTGGAACATCACTAATTAGGAGTGGGGGCAGTTCGGCGAAGAGGGAGGGGGGGGGGGAGTATTTCACACTTTCGC